CAATTGCACTGAACCGCTTCATGTTCGGTGAGATGTACGACGCAGAGGCAAGCAAGCGCCCGGAGGCCCCGGAATGTGATCATCCTGTGTGCGTGCGGAACCAGATGTTCATCCTAATGGCCGTCAATGTTCTTGCAACCCTCGCAGGTGTGCTTGTGCACTTGCGTTTTGCCCGCTTCACGGCGTTGAAGTGTGGTGAGAGGGATGCAACCTGCGTTGGGCGATAACAATGGAAACATAGGTGTGATCAGTGGGGTAGTAGAGGTTTGTTGAAATGGGAACTATTTAATCGTTTGTTTGCACCCCAAAATTTGGTTTTGAATCTCTGGTATGTTGGTTTTTTTTTCCTTTGGTTGTGCTGCTGCTTATGATTTTTTTGTTTACGGTTATGGTGGAAGTAACTTCATTCTGTACGGTGTTCGAGTTGGGTAATGAATGAGGAGATCGCGGAATAATTGGACGAGCGAAGGATGCCTTGGTTTGTCTTTGTTTGCTCTTCTGTGTGTGATGAAATAACTAAAATATATAAATAAATTAATATATATATATATATATTTCTGTGTGTGAGAGAGAGAGAGATGTATGTTTCTTATTATTGTAGGGTCAACGTTGGACATCTTTCTCCTCTGGAATCCGGTTGCAACGCAAATTATATATAAGCTGAGGGTAGCTTTTTGCGGATGTTTGCATGGGGAGTAACGACATACATCGCAGATTGTGGTTGTATTTTGATATATCCAAGCGACCAGAAGAAGTTCCGACTTGATTCATATACAAAAATAGAAACATGGCCAGTTCCATTCCTTCTTTCGGCACTTAACGATTGGTCCGGTGTCTGTGAAGCACTGTTCTCCGCCAAATACTGCGTCGACAATATGTTGGGGTAGAGGGTTTTCTCCCCTGCCGCGTGCCACACGATGGATAGTGCGGTGTGGGCGCAAGGTGGTGAGTTGCGGTGCCGCTGCCGTTGCATAAATTCTTTTCAAGTGGAGATTCTCGTCCCCCCCCCCCCCCCCCNCCCCCCCCCCCCTCTACTCTCTTCATTTATCGGGTTTTCTCTTACTAATGAGAGAGAAAGGTAAGACATATGGGCGAAGAGAGGGGGAGTGATACTAAGAAGACGCATTGTTATGTGGCGGCAGAGTACTGAGATGTTCCAAACGCGTTGTTTTAGTCCATCTTTGATAGTTCTGTATTGCCTTAAACACGGATGATGAAATGCGCTGCGGAGATCAAGAAGAAAAAAAAATGTGTTGCTGAAGCAGCCCTGCGGCGCTGGTGGCAGATTAACCGTGTGGTGAAATAGATGATTGTTGTTTTCCTGCTTTGCTGATTCTGATCCAGTGTTGGATAAGATTCACCCGAGAAACAGCGGGGGATATAAAGGGAATTTTCTGAGACGCAGTGACTGGTGCACTCAATATAACAAACGAAAAAACGACATTTCTTACAAGTAAGAAACGGCAAAAGAGCAGTTTTGCTACTCTGTAGCCAAATGTCAATGCCGTCAGAGAAAAGTTTCCCGGCGACTGTGGTGACGCCAATCCCTGTGGATCCGTACATAAGGCGCATAGATGACAGGAGGCGCTGCGTAATGCTTGTCGCTGGCATTTTCACTGCCACCGCCATATCCACGCATTACTGCTTCAATCTCATCAGTGAGTATCTAAAGAGCCGTTATCAATACGGTCAGGCGGAGTTAACGGTCATCAGCACCGTCGGCACGAGCGTTGGCGCCTTCACGTTTCCCGCGGGTGTTGTCTTTGACTATTTAGGTGCATCAGTGGCTGTGGCGGTGCCGTGCAGCATCGCCACCGTCGGTTTTGTGCTGCTGGGGCTCACATTTAGCGACCACATTGCAGGGTCTGTTGTTCGGCTCTCAGTGTTTTACGCGACGATATGCCTTGGGGCGTCCTCAATGGACACGGGGAGTTTGATGACGAACATCCTCAACTTCCCTCGTGACCGCGGCGCTGTTCTCGTGCTGCAGAAGACGTTCAACGGCCTCGGCACGTCTATCCTGGCCATTTGGTTTGCAAGTTTTTTCCCAAACCGCTACGATACATTGGCTTTTTTCACAGCGGGTGTGGTCTTTCTATTTGGTATGGCAGGCGCTACATTCTTGCGATTGCCGCCATATTACTTGACTGCCTGGCAAAGGAAGAGTCTTTCCGAAGAGGAAGTACTGGCGAGGGAAGTGACGCGCGATATTTACATGACGCAGCGGCCGTCGAAGCGGCGGCTTGGAGTTGGGTATGTGGTGCTTGCCATACTGTTTATTTTTGTCACAGTCCAGTCTCTCGTGGTGGCGTATGTGGATGTGGCGCAGCGGACACAGCTCGTAATGGGCATAGTTACCACGTGTCTCTTGGTGTCTCTCATCTTCATTGCGCTACCAGTGCGCTTCCTGGATGCGCCAGACGCCGACGCCAACTCCAGCGCAGACCGAAGCCCATTGAAGACGTCACTTCCTGAGACTCGGAGTGCGGTGACGTCCATTGGTGTGGAGCCATGCGGTGCTCGGCGGCAGCTACATGACCATCGGGAGGAAGTCATGCACCGTGAGTCGGGGGGCCTGGACGATCCGCTCCTACAGCCGCGTCGTTCTCAGCGGCACAGTTACGCCGCAACGCTACCGGGTCCTCCTCCTGAAAGAATACCAGAGCCGCAGTACCAAGGCGATTTTTCCTCGCATTTGCTTTTCCTCGACATATGGCTCCTGTTTTGGACTTGTTTCTGCAACTGGGGCACGGGCCACCTTATAGTCGCGAACGTCACGCAGATTTATCGCTCGATGAATAACAACCACTACGTGGCTTCTGCAAACACTTTGTACATAACGCTCATTGGGGTGGGCAGCGCATTTGGGCGTGTAATAACGGGTTGCATAGAGATGGTGATTGACAAGCGTGCTTATGCGGCATATGAAAAGTTGCAGCAGCAGCAGCGTTATCAACAACAGCTACCGATTTTGCCACATACCAAGCGCAAACTCCACATCATCATGGTCTACCCACTCCCATCTGTTCTCATGACTCTCAGTTTGGGAATTCTGCTATTAATTCCAGTGGAAGGAATTGTAGTGCCACTTGTGCTTATCAGCTTTGCGTTAGGGTATAGCTTGGCGTGCACCACGCTTGTGGTTCGTTCACTCTTTGCAAGGGAGGTTGGTAAACACTACAACTTCCTCTTCTTTGGTTCCTCCTGTGCAAACATTGCCCTCAACCGCTTTATGTTTGGTGAGCTCTTTGATCGAGAGGGGAGAAGAACAGGGATGTATCCACATTGTGCAGGTCGCCGGTGTGTACAGACAAGCTTTTTGATCCTACTGGGCCTCAATGCCACGGCCATGGTCACATCTGAACTGGTGTGCTGGAGATTTTTGCACTACGTCTCTCAGGAGGAGCAGCAGCAGCAAAATGTTGCGCATGACTACATTGATGATTATAATGATATCCGGTAGTTGTCTCTCACTTTTTCACCCAAACACCAACGGTGTGTGTATGCGCCTGTAATCGGCGTTTTCCCAATACTGGCCATGTTATAAGATACCCTCTTTCAGTGATATGTTGCAGTCGTAGCGTGGGGCCGAAAAAAAAAAAATTGAACGAATCATTCGCAATTCATGGCCCTTTACTAGCTTTGTCTTTTTCTCCCCTTCTATATAAGCCTTTCCCCAGAGGTCGGTAATTTAGACTCACTGTCCAATTTCTTCTCTTTGGTGATGCATAGATGGAGCTCCTTATTATGGTCTGGCTTTCTCCTCCATTTTTTTTACCCTCTCTGACTTCATTTTCGTTCCTGTGTCTCTGTGTATGTGTGCAGGAAGGGAGCACCGGGCCCAGGGGGAGAGAAAACAAAAGGTGTGGGGGCAAGAGAAGAAACCGAGGTGAAGCATGTGTGGTATTAGTTGCGTCCTTTCCCTGCGCAAGCGACAAGGCTCACCTGATGTTGCTGGGTGCGTAGAAGGCGTTATCGAGCGTGCGGCTCTCCGCCGGGCTGTGCGGCGTCGCGGCCCAGACCAGTTTGCGTCGCTGCACTTTAGCACTGCTGCTATACATGTTGAGGCGACCAGTTCTGTGCTGCGTCTGCGCGGTGCCGGGGGGACGTGTCAGCCGGCGATGGTGGTAGCAAGTGAGGGAGAACCACAGACCTGCACCTGCACTAGCGATAGTGAAAATGGTGACGGATCACTTGACTGCGACGGCTGTACGCGTTTAATACCACTCTGCTCCTCATTTCTTCAGTGGAATGGTGAGGTGTTCGGTGGATCTCTCCAGTTGTCACCACGTGTGTCCGACACGACTGTCGTCCTTGACTGCCTCCACCGGTTAGAGCAACAGTGCGCCGCAGAGCTGCACCGCATCACCACCACCCCTGGTGACAATAGTAGCATAGAGGAGCGCCACGCCGCCGACTTGGCTGCGGCGCAAGTGTCGTTTGCTAGATCTTGCGTGCATTTTTTCGAAACCAGCATTGAGGGACCGTATGCCTTTGTGTACTACGCGGAATCTTTGCAGCTTTTTCTGTTCGGACGTGATCCGTTGGGGCGACGATCTCTACTCACGCACATCGCCACCGCGGGACAACACACGAGCGTGGTGGGTGATGCAGGCGTCTTGCGGCACACTGATGTGGAAGTTGTCATCTCCTCTGTTTCGGAAGCACACTGCGTCACGGGCTGTGTAGCTGAATCATCCGCTGGCAAATGCAAGAAGCGGAAGAGGCGTGAGTGCAATGACTGCGATGAAGGAGACAAGGAGGAGGAAAATGATGGCGACAAAGTAACGCCGGATTCCAACTGCTGCTGGCAGGAGGTGCCCAATACTGGCCTCTTCGCTGTCAGCGTGGCGCCGTTCTCGCAAGGCGACATTTTTGCCCACTACCCGTGGACGTCGGCAAGCAGTACGCACCCATTGCTGCGCTTCCACTCCCAACCGCATCCACTTCCAGTGGTGGAAGAGGAATATCCACCAGTGCTTAGCTGCCTGCTTCGTGAGGGAGATACATATATGCACCCTTTGCTGAGGGACTCCACCTCCTTCGACATACTAGCAGCCAAACGCTACCTTAAAGCCCTTTGGAGGGCCGTGGAGGTGCGCGTCAAAGCTTCTCACTCTGGAGGGGATTTCACTCGTCCCATTGGCATTCTTTTTTCTGGTGGTATTGACTGCACCGTGCTTGCTGCTATCGCGCACTACGTGCTACCGGCCACGACACCCATTGAACTTGTAAATGTGGCGTTTGGTGACGCCCCGGAGCTCACTCCAGACAGACTTGCCACGTTCAAGGCCCTTGAACAACTGCTTCAGTTGACCGAAGCGATAGGGGTAGAAGGGAAGGAAGGGTGTCCGAAGTATTCTCAGTGCGAAAGGGAGTGGCGCCTTGTGCTTGTGGATGTGCCGCACGGTGCAGATAACGCGTACGTGCGACGCCTCATCTGGCCTGGAGATACCGTCATTGACATAAACATCGGCACCGCGCTTTGGCACGCTGCTCAGGGGCGTGGTCGCATGCAGCGCATTTGTGTGGACGACAAGGTTGTCTCTCAACTACACGCCAAGGACTCTCCGTCATCCGGCTACCACCGACTTTATCGTGTGTCCGCTGAAAAAACAGGGAAATACGAGTCTGAAGAATTGGCAGATCCCACAAGCGGTGTCGTTGATGATGCCAAGTTCGCCCCACTGCTGGATGCCATCATTTCGGAGGTGGAGGCGTTTGGCGGCGATGCGTCGGCCCTCGTGTTTCTGTCGACGCTGGGAAAAGACCACGCAACGGCGCTGCGCCCCGTTCTGGCACGCCACGGGTACAGAAAATTGGGACAGTACCTAAATGACGCGGCTGCAGCTGGCATGATTGCCTTCGCCAAACGTGACGAGGCGCCGTCTAAAGCCGTGCGTCTTGTGCGGCCGGCGGATATGGCGAGGGTGCGGCGTGTGGTGCCGGCAAAGTGGTTGGCCGCCGACGGCGCGGTTGCACCACTGGGCTTGTGTGTGGATGAGTACGTTTGCGAGGCACGTGTTCTGCTCCTTGGGATGGGGGCGGACGAGACGCTCGGCGGTTATACGCGTCACCGCCGCGCCTTTGAGCGGCGTGGGGCGCAAGGCCTGGCGACGGAGCTAGACCGCGACTTTGCGCGGTTGTGGAAGCGCAACCTTGGACGCGACGACCGCGTGGTGTGCGACAGCGGGCGGGAGAGTCGCTACCCGTACCTTGACGAACAGGTGCTCACAACACTCGCTGCTATCGCTGCGGAGGCGTCCCAGCGCGCAGCACACACCGCCACGCCGGCCGTCAGCGGCGGGGATGCTGCGCTTCTGCAGGCGCTGTCGCCGGTGTGCTGCTTCAATGCGGACGGCGGCCCGCCGGGGGTGGGCGACAAGAAGATCCTGCGGCGCTGTGCTGCGATGCTTGGCCTCGGTGATGTCGTGTGGTTGCAGAAGCGCGCCATTCAGTTCGGCTCCCGCATTGCACATGCGCCATCTTGACTGAGAGACATGGTGGTATAAATCACGGATTAATAAGACCGAGGGGAAGATGTGTACATGTGTGTGAGTCTCTGAAGAGGTGGTGGGGAGAAATGGCGAACAGAATAAAGGAAACAAAAACGAAAAGAAATTCCATCCCTGAATCTGAGGCAGCACCTTGGTGTTGTATCACCTCCTTTTTTTTCGTTCCTTTTTTTCGGCCTCAACAGACAGTGCCCTCTCTTATAGTGGCAGCGCCTGGCACACACGCTGCATGAGCGGATGTCGTTGCAGTGCTTCAGAGCAGCTGGGGGTGCGTTGCTTTCCTTGCATGGCGGGCGCCCCTCAGCTGCAGCCACTGTCGTTGTGGCTCTCTGGCACCCTCGCAGAGCCTTCATCGAGCACAGCGCGGACCCGACGAGGTGGCGGAGCCCGGATAAGGCGGAGGTGAAACGGCAACACCCCGGCGTGCGGCTTGGCTCTGAGTTCGCTCGCATCAAGGAGCGTGGGGAGGCGGAGCAGCAGCTCGTCGACGCCGGCAAGTTTACAGATTGGGGCATGATGTGGCGCTTTGCTGTTGGTGCCGCCGTGGTGCTTGTGCTGCTCAATGTGCTGCTGGCGACGGTAGAGCCTAACCCTCCGCCGGAGTACACGCCGTACTTGCCCCCGCTGGAGCGGCGATCTGACGACGTGCATAGGCGCGCGTCGCGGCCTTGAGGACTCTGAAGCAGAGCCCCATATATGCGCATTTCTCTCTCACCATATATATATATATATGTTCTGCTTCTGTTTTTTTTTTGGACTTCAATGAGACTTTCACGTTTTTCCACTTTCTTTTCTTCTTGCCTTTCACTCATTGAAGCTAGCCGGTAGGCCAGGTTTGTGTATTGTTTGTTGAATAGAGAGAGAGTCCCGAAATTGGGAGTCCCACAAATTTTCTTTTTTTTGGGGGGTGTAGGAAGTGAATTATGCAGAAGCCACTTTCAGATGAGGAGCGTGCAGCCAAAGAAGCCCGTTTACAGGAGCTCTGCAGCCAAATGAACGCGTTAGGTGGAGCTTCTTCGTCGACTGCGAACCCTTCCGAAACATCGGCCAACGCGTACGCCTGTGATGATGGGCAGCACAGCGACGACGAGGAGGATGACGAATTCCTGCAGGAAGCCGAGCGCGCGCACGAGGCGGCGGCGGGTGTCTACATGTGCGCAAAGCCGATGGGGGAGCTGCTGGGTGAGACTGTTGCGACAGGCCCGGGAGCCAGACGCTGCACTGTCGGTGACTTTGAGCTGCTGCGGTTGGCGAAGATGGGCGACCTTATCTCCTTCACGGAGTTCGCAGCTGTCATTGGGGCAGACCCCACCACTTTCCGCGACAACCACGAGCGCAACGCACTGCACTACGCCGCAGACAGCGGAGACATCGCAATGCTGCAGCACCTCATCGATAGGAAGGTGCCCTACACGAAGGATGAGAAGGGGATGACACCAGTGGACATTGCGGCATTGAATCAGCACGAGGCGGCGGTGAAGCTGCTGGCGGCGGCGTTTCCGCAGGCTGCCGAGGCACTGAAGAGTTACGAAGAAGCTGTCGAGGCATTCGCGCGACCCCCACCGCGGTTCACCATGACGAAGCCTGTTCCACCTGCACCGAAAGAATCTCGTCCACACATATTCTGGAAGAAGGACGAAGGTGATACTACTACTGCTGCTGCTGCTTCTGTCGTCACTAACGAGGGAGTTGCGGTTTCACAACTTGACGCTACACAGCATGAGTGGATTATACGCGCTCTGAGCGGTATGACACTTTCGCACGGAAGCCACGGATTCCACAACTGGCTTCCACCCGCCGAAGCGGCAACGCTAAGCGCCGTTCTTCCTCACGCAACAGTGGTGGGCGCGACGCAAGCGGTGGAGGGAGAAGATACGATCTGCGGCGTGGTGCTTGCAGTGCCGCTGGGTGGCTCCCTTATAGGTAAAAACGGTACTGTCAACATGAAGAATACATTGTTGGTGACGCAGTTAGCGGTGCATCCCTCAAGGCGTGGCGCCAACGTGGCAGCGCTTCTGATGGCAGAGTTGCAGCGCTTGTTGCGGGAAGCTGGTAACTCCTCTGTTGTTTTCCACAGCGCGCTTCAATTACCAGTTCCAGCTGTTGGCCTCGTGAAATGGTACCGGCGGTCAATTGTGCCCTGCAGTGCGCTCCGTCACCGCTACGCAGCGGAGGTGTTCCCTGATTTCTATCAGTACGACGACGTGTTGCGCGCCGACATTGTCACGAAAAACGCACTGACGAAAGCCTTCCGCGACCAGAAGTTACCACACTGTGAGTCTTGGTGTACTGTGGACCGCACCAGCGGTGAGCAGTTAAATTTTCTGCTTGACTTTGTCGTTCGACACGCACCTACAATGTTTGATTTCGCTTATGTGCCCGAAAACACCGAGGACATGCTTGCATCTGTGATCGCAGATGGACTCAACGCCTTTGTGTACGTGTCACCAGTGACTGGTGCGATTACAGACCTGGTTGTCTTACGCCTTCGTAGTTCGGACGCTGAGACGAATGCGCATAAGACCGCTGCGCAGTGTGTGTACTCCATCTTCACCACCTTTAAGGGAACTGAAAAGGCGGAGGAGGTGCTCATCCTTGCCGAGATGCTGAAATGCGAGACGGTGCTCATCCCGAGCATGTTTGGCTTCGTCGACAGCGACTTGAGCAAGGCCATGTTTGAGGAGTTGCTGGCGTCCCGTGAGTACCTCTACGTGCTGAAAGCCCCAACTGAATCCGTGGTACCGCCAACGCCACTCTCGAAGGTCGCCATTCCCTGCACATTTATTTAAAAATTTGAGAGATTGAATACATCTTTTCTCTTGAACAGGGAATATTAGGGTGTGACGCGGTGTGTGTTTAAGAGACAACAACAACAGCATCATCAACTCGACTATTAGAAGACGAGCAATAAAATACGAGGGGGAATGAAAAAGAATGAAGGGGTATGTGGACCTTCACTTCCTTGTATACGTGTGATTATAGGGACCAGTAGCGCACGAAAACTGCTGCAACGACGCCCCGGGGGTGGGAAAAAGAAAACGAAGGATGTCGAGGTGTGTATGACTGCAACGGTAAACAAAGGGATGGGGTGGGATGCGGCCCTTCCGTGAGAGAATAATAAACTGGCAGAAACCTGATCACTCACATCACACAGCGACAGCGAAAAAGAGTCTTATTTTGTTTACACTTTCCAAATGTACGCCTAAACAGATGCGTTTTTGATGGTTGCTAAGAAGAAATCAAATATTAATTTTCCACATTGGGTATCTGGTTCTTTTTTTGTTTCCTTTGTCTTTGGGCTTTTTGGCTATCAACTCCTCTCGCTTTTCCTCTTCCTTTCTCTTTCTCCTTTTTCTTATCGTTCGCTTTTTGGGACCTGCTGAAGGAGCGCGGTATGAGCCATATCAAATACATGTGCTGGCGAGCTCCCCTTTCCGCGACGCCGTACCATGCCTGCGGCCGCGCAGCTGCGACAGGCACTTCGGCATCCAGTGTGCCGTCCGCCTCGCTGTGGCTCGCGACGGCGCTCTCTGCAGCGCGTTCCACTGCTGCGGCAGGTGGGGGCGGTAGCTGCCGCAGGTGGCAATTACCCGAGTGGCCGCACACGTCTGCGCCAACGCCACTCGTATTCGCCGTTCGATTTCAGAGCGGCGTGGCGGGCGCGTGTGAGGCGCCAAATGGGGGGAGCGGCGACAGCAGCAAGGGGCTGCAAGAAGCGGAGGCTTTGTTGCGGGAGCGCTTTGGACCTCAGGCGAAGTTGGTGCTTCGCCGCTGCCCGCG